GAAGCGAATATTTCGTCACTAATATAATTTACCAAGTGACTTTTGATGATTTACTTTTTGTATTTACTCCTTCTAGTGGTTCAGTATTCTATTTTTGTTCTAGTATTAATTATAATTTAAGTTTACACTGAGGTTTAAGCGTATAATTTTCTATCAAAATATAAAAGGGTTTTTATTATTACTGTAACTCTATATTTTCTTCACATTTACTTCAGTCATCTTCCACTATCCTGTATTTTGTGGAAGTCATCTGAACTATTTTGTTTTCCTTAATGAAGACTATTTTTAATATTCTTTTAAAGACAGTTTCTTTAGAAATGAGAGCTACTGTGAGTTGAATATATCTTTTTTGAGTGGTGAGTTCTAACTATGAGCGTGGGTACTATGTTAAGTAAATTTTCTGAATTAGCTAATGCAATCCTACACTAGCTTTATGTTTTAGGTACTGTTACTATACAACTTAATGAGACTTTATACTTGGGATCTATATGGAATAGTTCATTTGAAGAATACACAGTTTGACAGTTGACAAATTTGAGATATTTTGAGCCTGAGTCTACTGGAAATTGCCTGTTCTTCTGAGTGAGGTAGAATCTGCTAAGTTGGTACTTGAAGTGTGAGAACTGCTTGCTAGAAATGATACTGGAAGTTTTCTTAGTTGGTCATTAGGTGCCTACTGCTTTTGAAAATGACTTGAAAAGATCTTTGTGTTCTGTTGCTGATTTTATTATCTTGCTCCACCTAATCTCTTCATAAACTCATCTTACTTTACTTATCAATCAGTGTATTCTCCCACTTCAGATATTTAAGGAACCTCAGTCTTAGTACTCATGATATGCAGCTGCATCAACAGATACTAAGGTTTTGTTTACATATTCTTTATTAGCAACTTAAGAAAATGTCACAATTTCAAACCTCTTTCCTTTTGGAAGCTATAAATTATCCTGTTGCAAACTCATATAGCTGCTGGCTGTGGATTTACTGGCAGCTAGTTATTGCTGCTTTCATATATTCATTCACTATTTTGTGTATGCCATTTTCCTCCTCATTTGGATTCTGGTTGTTGGTTTTTGTTTTTGTTTTTTTTATTTGCTATATCATACATACAGTAAAGTGTGTAAGGTGCATTCATCATGACTGTATACTGCTCTTTTTTTTTGAACACACATATACATGCTAGTAACTTTTACCAGACCAAATGTGAGTCCTCTTCTTGGCAAGTTAATCAAACTACACCAGAAGTAGTTGTCACACAAAGTGGAAATTTTATCTGCAGCATGCAGCAAATAAAATGGAGACCATAGGGAATAATTTCACAAAGCTATGGCTCCCTGAGCATGGGGAGTGGGTCCCTTTTATTTGGGGTAGGGGATGAATATGTATAGAGGAGATTTTATCTTGGGGCATGTGCAGGTCTCCCTTCTTGCGTGCAGCATGTTCTGCACACGCCTTCTGTGCACAGCACCCCATCACCGTCTTGGATCTTTCTGATTTGGGCTGGTTTTGTGGTTTGGCCATCTGACAACATTCTGTCTCAATGTGCCACCTTAGTTTCTATAAGCATGCATAACTTCAAAACAAAGTGCTAGGTATGGAAAGTTGTTTTAAGGACTTCCCAGTTATTTTGAGGAGCTGCTAACTGCTGATGGGACTTTTCTTTTTTTTTTTTTTTTTTTTGTGAGGAAGATCAGCCCTGATCTAACATCCGTGCTAATCCTCCTCTATTTGCTGAGGAAGACCGGCTCTGAGCTAACATCTATTGCCCATCCTCTTCCTTTTTTTCCCTTTTTCTCCCCAAAGCCCCAGTAGATAGTTGCATGTCATAGTTGCACATCCTTCTAGTTGCTGTATGTGGGACGTGGCCTCAGCATGCCGGAGAAGAGGTGTGTCCGTGCGTGCCCGGGATCTGAACCCGGGCCGCCAGTGGCGGAGCGCACGCACTTAACCGCTAAGCCACAAGGCTGGCCCGGGACTTTTCTTTTTTAAGCAACTAAGCAACAAGCAACTCTTTAAGCCTAAGTAACTCTTTAAGCAACTCGGGCAGGTAGCTGGTGACAAAATCCCTCCTCTAGTTTTATCCTTCTCCTCATTCTTAAGGGGCATGGGGCGAAGTTCTGTCTTCTGTAGTTACTTCCTGCTGAGCATGGGCATTGTTATAGGGATTAGTAGAGGAGCAGAATTTTTCCCCAGCTAGTCAAAGATAGATTTGTGGATGACCAGGCCTGGCTCTGAGCTGTTCATATCCTTGTGTTACAGCCATATGTAATTTTATAGCTTCAGTGTGCTTAGTCATAAGTTGTATCAAACAATTAAGTATGCAGGGTCCAAACAGCAAAAGGAGGAGGATAGCTACCAAGGGACCTAAGAGCTGGAGGAACCAAGTTAGGCTGGGAAGGGCTTGTTTGACTCCATTCCAGATTTGTTCTGTAAGGTCTGGCTGACTCTTTTTTGTTAGCCAGGTGGCTCTTTCCAGTAACCTGTACTTTTTTCTGTAGTGCCTCTAGCATTAACATAGAACCAGTAAGATGTATTTGCTAAGGCATAGATTTCACCCTGGTTTGTCAAAAGATCTAAAGAGATAATGGGCTTTTTAATATCTTAAAGTCTAAACCTGATTTGCCAGCCACCGTGGGCACTGTGGCAGTGACTTCTTGGATAGTGACTGCATTATAAATGGTATCTCCTGCTAATGCACCAGTGACCAGGGCCATTATCCCTGTCATCATTAGGCCCATTGGAATCAGAGAATAGGGTAGCTGGGTTTAGGGTATGACAGAGTTTTAAAGAAATTTGAGTGAAGTATTTCTTCTGGCTTTATTTTTCTTCAAGATTGTCTTGTCTGTTTTTAGCCCTTCACATTTTCATGTGTTTTAGAATTAGCTTGTCTAATATCCAAGAAAGTATCTGCTGGGATTTTGTTTGAGATTGCTATGAATTTGTACATCTGCATGGAGAAAATTGATATTTTTATAATATTGAGCCTTCCTATCCAGGAATTTATTATATCCCTTCATTTATTTGGGTCTTCTTTATTTTTCTTCATTATATTTTGTAATTTTATTTATAGGGATTTTCATATTATTCATGCTCTTGTTAATTGTACCTTAAAAAATTTATTTTCTGAAATTTGTTAAATTGAACTTGTATCTAATTTCTAAAACTTTTATTTTAGATACTTTTATTTAGATTTTCTGTGTATATGATTGTTTTCCCATATTACTCTAAGAACTTTCAAAAAATGTTGAATAAAATTGGAGATAGCAGGCATCCTTATTTTGGTCCTAGTTTTAGGTTGAACACTTTCCATATTTCACCATTAACTGTGATATTTGCTGTGGGTATTTGTAAAAATCCTTTATCACATTGAGAAAATTCTTTTCTATTTCTAGTTTGCCAAGTTTTTTTTAATCATGCTTTTTTGTATCTATTGGGATGATCATATCATCTCTTAGTTTTTAAAACTATTTGTTCTTATTTTGATATCCACCTTTCAGAAAATTCCTTCATGGTCTGCATGGCCCATTCCTTCTCTGTAAGCCAGTTAAAAAGTGGTTTTCTCTCAGCTTCCATTCTTGATTATTTTCAGTTTCTTAATTCTTTCAGAGTTTTCTTATTTATTCTTGATGACTTCGAATACCACCAAATTATTAACGTCTACCGAATCCTTATTTTCATTCTAGACTTCCAGTATTATGCTTTAAGTTTATTATATATAAGACATATCTTGCTGAAATACAGTGCCCAATCTATTTTGTCCTAATTTTCCTGGCTAACTTTGTGACTCTAGTACCTGTACAGCTGTTTATGCATATATCCTGAGGAAACATTTCCTTTCTGCCAATGAATTGGTGACTACGTTCTGTTGCCGTCTATCTCCTTTCATCGGTGCCCTATTTGCATCCCAGTTTCTACTGTAATAGTTTATGTAAATGGTGTTGTTTTGTCCTTTAGCTTTCCCTCCCCTTTTTCAAGAGAATTGGTTCTAGAAACAAAAACTTGGTCGTATAACTTTAGTATATGCTCAAATCACTCCTTTGGCTTCCCTTTCTCCACAACAGTGATCCCTAAAGTAGAGGCATGCACTTGAGGTGATATCAAAAACAACCCAGTTGGATATCTTCTTGTAAATGTTCTACAGACATTTCAAGTACAACAGTTCCAAAATCTTTCCTTCTCATTTTCTATACATCCTAATTATTGTCTCGGAATCGAAAGGTTAGAACCTAGAACATGTATTGCAGTGAAATAAAATATTAGGCTATCTTTCTATGTTTTTAAGTCTAAGTAAGAGTAAAATTAAAGTTGTAATAAATGTATTGATTACTTCTATAATTTATAAATAAAAACTTCTGTAGTGCTAAAAAATATTCTTTAACGTGGAAAGTGATCACATACTATGGAGAATGTTGGTCTACAATTACTGTAATCCATTCCCTGAATACCTCCATGGCCCTGTCTCTTATCACAGCTCCAGGCTGTATTCTCAACTCCTGTGCTATGTGCCCTTTTGCTCATTTCCTGAATGTGTTTGAGGCCGCCTGCCTTTGCTTGTGCCGTGGCTGTGTGTTCACGAAGAACACAGTGTTACTTTTCATCCAATGATCATTCTTCTTCATTGAAGCTCAAAATAGAACTGATTTTGCTCCTCAGTTATGTTAGTCTGTGTTGTGTGTACTTTTACCATAGCGCTTGTGACATATTACTGCATATGTTTTCTTACCAGGTTGAAAGCTTCTTAAATACAAGAAGATTTTTGTTAATCTTAGTATTTCCAAGAACTAGAATAGTTCCAGATACATTGTGGGGACTTGATAATTTTTGCATGTGAATAATACCTTAATGCAATGGGGGAATATTTCTTTATGATTTCTCTTTTTCCCCCAAAGTATAATGCAAAACAAACATTCTGCAAACCATTTTGGTAATCCGCAAATAATAATTATGGTGAAGATTAGTTCCCATACAGCTTTTTCCATGTCACCTAATTCTGAACGTTTCAGATTGAACAGAAATTCCAGGGATCAGTATCATTTATGGATGTGACTGTGGGCTTCACCCAGGAGGAGTGGCAGCACCTAGACTCAACTCAGAGGTCCCTGTATAGAGATGTGATGCTGGAGAACTACAACAACCTCGTCTCAGTGGGTAAGATCTGTTTATTATGTAATTCTAAATAGCATTTTTAAATTGTTTTAATTATGAAGCATATGGATGCTCTGTAAGAGTTTAAAGATATTTGAGATTGGAATTCAGGAGTCAGTGTTGGTAGATCACTTTTGGGCAGGAGGAAGATATTTTGTTTACCACTCCAGTGAAATGTTCAATGGCACCTTCATTGAGCACCTCCAGATGCTTCCTGCTCTTTCAGAGGCCCTGAAGTCTAGGCCACCTGGTCCAAGTCCTAAATTATTTCACTTTGACAGGGTATTGTGTTACCAAACCAGAAGTGATCTTCAAGCTGGAGCAAGGAGAGGAGCCATGGATATTAGAGGAAGAATTCCCAAGCCAGACGTTCCCAGGTGAGTTAACATATACTGCACAGATGAACATCCGGGGATTTATTATTTTCCCGTGGTTAATCCAGAGGTTGACAACTTTGCAATGTCTTTTGCAAGAATATCTCTTTAGAAATCCTAATCCTTGGAAGTGACTGAGAATACTGATTTTTGAATCAAACCTCCAGATGCCACTCTCACAAAAAATGTTCTTTTTGATTCACTTTTTGAATATTTACCATTCTTACATGTGTCAACAGTCAGGTCTTTGCACACCTCATCTTTACTGTTTTCTTTCTCGGTTACTCTATGTTTCTCGAAGCAAGTTCAGTTGCCCACCTTAACTCCATGGCACTGCATTTTTGCTGTTCTGAGGCATTCCTTCATACACCCATTTTTTGATTCAAATAATTTTTTTGTGTGTGTGTGAGGAGATCAGCCCTGTGCTAACATCTGCCAATCCTCCTCTTTTTTCGCTGAGGAAGACTGGCCCTGGGCTAACATCCATGCCCATCTTACTCCACTTTATATGGGACGCCGCCACAGCATGGCCCGCCAAGCGGTGCATTGGTGCGCACCCGGGATCCGAACCGGTGAACCCCGGGCTGCCGCAGTGGAGCGCACATACTTAACCGCTTGCGCCACTGGGCTGGCCCCAATTCAAATAATTTTTGAGTACCTGTATATTCTAAGAGTTGAGAGTATTGTGATGAAAAAAATAATGTGTCTTAATGAGTTTATACAGGTAGCACTAATGACCAACCAGTATGTGAAAAGATACTCAGCATCACTAATCATCAGGGAAATGCAAATCAAAATGTAATGAGATATCATGTCACACCATTTAGAATGGCTAGCATCAAGAAGACCAGAGATAGCAAGTATTGGTAAGGATGGGGAGAAAAGGGAACACTTTTGCACTGTTGGTATTGATGTAAATTGGTTCAGCCACTGTGGAAAACAGTCTGGAGGTTCCTCAAAAATTTAAAAATAGAACTACCGTATGATCCATCAATTCCACGTGAGGGTATATACCCAAAATGAAGACAGGATATTGAAGAGATATATGCACTCCCATGTTTATCACAGCATTGTTCACACTAGCCACATACAGAAACAGCCTAAGAGCCCATCAGTGGGTGAATGGATAAAGAAGATGTGTGTGTGTGTGTGTATATATATACATATATAAGGTATATTATTCAGCCATGAGAAAGGAGGACACCCTGCCATTTGCAACAACATGGATGGACTCTAAGCACATGTGGAATGCTAAGTGAGATAAGTCAGACAAAGACAAGTACTATATTGTATCTCATATATGTGAAATCTAAAAAAGCCAAAGTCATAAAAACAGAGAGTAACATGGTAGTTAGCAGGGGCTGGTGGGTGAGGGAATAGGACAGTTGTCGTTTAAGCGTATAGACTTGTAGCAAGTAGGAAATAAGCTTTTGAGATCTAATGCTCAGTATAGTGAGTGTGGACAGCTATATGGTATTATAATCATCAAACTTGCTGAGAGACTAGAGCATAATTATTCCAACCACTAATAGGAAATGACAGTATGTATCATGATAGAGGTGTTAATGATCACTGATGGCAATCATAGTACAGTATATAAATGTATCAAATTAACATGCTGTATACCTTAAATTTACACAGTTATATGTCAAATATATTTTAATTTAAAAAAGTAGCTAAAGACATAAACAGGTATATATGTGTATTAAATGCTCTGTAGTGGTAAAAACTATCAAAAAAATTAGAGCAGGGTTCAATTGATTGAGTGTGCTTCTTTAAGAGGAGTAGTCAGGGGAAACCTTAAGGAGATTACCATTAGAGTGGAATATGAGTTCTGCCTCTTCTCAGCAAGAGTAATAGCAACTGCTAAGCCCATGGGTAGGAACGTGCTTGGCATTTTTTAGAAATAGTGAAAAAAAGTCACAGTGGCCAAAGGCAAATGGTTGATGGGAGGAGGGGCAGGAGGTTATGTCAGGCAGCTATGGTCCAAAAGATGAGAGTATTATAAGTCTTATTAAAGATTTCAATTTTATTCCTAATTTATTAGTATATTTTGGCAAATGAGCAACATCTGATTTATATTTGTATAAGATCTTTCTTATCTTTATAGAGAAGATATTGGGAAGAGTATAAGCACTTAGACAGCTCATTAGGGAACTATTTTAGTTTTCTTTATGAGTGATTATGGTCGCTTAGACAAAATTGGAAGGCATGGAGGTAACGTGAAGAGATTAAATTCTCTCTGTATTTGGAAAGTGAGGTAATAACAAAACAACTAACATTTGTATCATCAGAGTAACAGAAGGAGAGGAGAGTGGTACTTGAAGTATTTAAAGAAATAATGGTTGAAAACTTCCCAAATTTGGCAAAAGACTTAAAACTACTTATTCAAAAACCTGAGTGAACTCCAAATGAAATAAATCCAAATATATCCATGCTAGAGGCACATCTTAATTAAATTTCTGAAAACTAAATACAAAAAATCTTGAAAGTAGCCAGAGAGAAACAACACATTACCTTTGGGAATGACAGTGGGTTTCTCATCTGAAACCATGGAGACTAGAAGGAAATAGTACATTTTTTCAAGTACTGAATGAAAAGAACTCTCAAACAAAAATTCTGTTTCTTGTGAAAATATATTCATGAAAGAAGGGAACTAAAGATAGTATACAAAGGAAAACTGAGAGAGAATGTTGTTATCAAACCTACCTTTAAAAAATGGCTAGAGAAAGTTCTCTCAATAGAAAGGAAGTAACACAAGAAAACTTTGAACTTTCAGAAAAGAAACAAGATTGAAAGTGGCAAAAATAAAGGGAAATACAATGGAGTTTCCTTCTCATTCGTTTCTGAAATCCTATTTAATATTTGGAGCAAAATTTATAATATCATGATTTAATGCTCTGTATGTAGAAGAAATACTTAATATAATTATATTTAAAAAGTAGGGACCATAAAAGGACTTAAGTGGGATTAAAATCTTACATTTCATGTGATGTGGTAAAATGTTGATCCTAGAAGACTGTGACAAGTTATATATGTGCACTTTACCTAGAAATGCACTAGAATACCTAGAACAACCACTAAAAAACTATAGAAAGTGGTACACTTAGAAACACTATAAGTAAATCAAGATGGAATCTTTAAAAGTGTTTAAGTAACCAATGGGAAAATAACAAATTAGGAACAGATGAATGAGAAACTGAGAAGACAAACAGAAAACAAATAAAATGGCGGAATATTAGCCTAACATAGTAATGTTTACCTTAAGTATAAATGATCTAAATACACCAATTAAAATACATATTGGCAGAGTAGATAAAACCAAAAACATGATTCAAAAATATGTTATCTACAAAGAAACATAGGTTGATGAAGAATAGAAAAAGATATGCCGTACAAACATTAACCAAAACAAAAACAAGAATGGCCCCATTAGTATTAAATAAAGTAGTCTCCAGAACAGAGAAAATTATTAGACAAAAAGAGGAACATTCCAACAAAAAGACAATGGTCCAAAATGTAACCCCACCAAACAACAGAACCTCCAAGTACACAAAGCAAAACTGATTGGTCTGAAAGGAGAAGTAAAGAAATCCTCAATTATACTTGGGGAATTCACCACCTCACTCTCAGCAGTTGGCGGAACTGCCAGACATTAATTCAGCAGCAGATATAGAAGGACTGAACAGCACCATCAACAGAAAGGACTGAAGTAACGTTTATCAAACACTGCCCAACAACAGCAGGTTACACATTCCTCTCAAGTGCTCACAGAACATTCAGAACGATGGAACATATCTTGGGCCATAAACAAACCTAAATAAATTTAACAAAATTGAAATAATGCTGAGTATGTTCTCTGAATATAATGAGATCAAACTATGAATAGATAACAGAAAAGCAATAGAAAAATATCAGAACACTTGGAAATTAAACAAGACATATCTAAGTAATGCATGTATTAAAGAAGAAGGCTTAAAGGGAATTTTAAAAGTATATAGAACTAAATGAAGATGAGACCACACCATATCAATATATGTGGGAGACAGCTAAAGCAGTGCTGATAGGGAAATTTATAGTATTAACTGCTAACATTAGATAAGATGAGAGGTCTCAAATGCATAATTATCTTTCTATCCCAAGAAACTGGAAAAGAGCAAAGTAAATCCACAGCAAGTAGAAGGAAGAAAAGAAGTTAAGAGCAGAAGTCAGTGAGATTGAAAATAAGGAAACAATAGAAAAAAGTAATGAAACACAAGGGTGGTTCTTTGGGGAAAAAACCAATAAAATTGATAAACCTCTAGCAATATTGACAAAAATAAAAAAAGGTAACAAATTTCCAGTATCAGGAAAGAAACTGGGGATATCAGTCCTACATCCATTAACAGGATGATGAGAATGCTGTAAACAAGTTTACACTCATAATTGGACAATTTAGAAAAAATGGATCAATTCCTCAGAAACTCCAAACTACCAAAACTCAATCAAGATGACATAAATAATTTGAATTAAAGAAATTAAATTTTAAATAAAGAGCTCCAAAAAAAAAGGAAATCTGCCATAGATGTCTTCGCTGGAGAAGTCTACCAAACAGTTAAAGAAGCGTTAACAGTAATTTTACACCATATCTTCCAGAAAATAGAAGAGTAGAGAACACTTCTTAAGTTTTTTTATTATTCTGATAATAAATAACCAAAACCATACAAAGATAGTACAAAAAATAGTAATAAAACTACAGAATTTATCTCTCATAAATTTACTAGCAAAAATCCTTGATGAAATATTAGCAAATAGAAACCAGCCATGTATAAAAAGAATTATACACTGTGACCAAGTGGAATATCCAGGTATGCAAAGCTGCTTCAACATTCAAAAATAAATCAGTGTAATCCAGCGTAGGCTAAAGAAGATGCTGTTATACATAAAATTACTTTCTTAATTTCTTTTTAGATTGCTTGTTGCAGGTATATAGAAACGCAGCTGATTTTTGGATGTTGATCTTG